CATTAAATCATAGCAAAATATTATCACAGGATACTGTGTTGGTATGAACAGTAAGTAGCCATTTTTTACTTTAGAAACCTTATAAACCCTAGAGGAAATTTTAACAAATACTAACAAATATTTAAGTTACTCCAATCATAACTCAGAAAAAAGGTGAAGAGAGTTTAGGTTACCGTTGGACCTGACACAGAATTTGCCACACCACCACAATGACTTGTAACTATATCTTCCAAATTCCTCTCTAGTAAGGTAAGTACATGATTATCTTTCCCTGACTACATTACATTGCAATTCTGTCTCCTAGATAGTCATAAAACAAATCACCCACTGATTCAATAGCCTATATGAAGAATAGCTGGAAAATTACATAGTGCATCCCAAGAGAAGAAATGTAATTTTCATCTGTATCTTTTTTTAAGTTACAATACTCCTCTTCTCTCCTCTGGCTGTACATAGATACAATATTTTTATCAGCAAATATATTTACATAATGCAATCAATTCCTAGTGAGACATGGTGACAGAGATATGAAAAAATGATGTTCATCTTGCAAGCACAACCATTAGTATTGCAGGAGAAAAACCAAAACCCTTAATACACCCAGCCCTACACCTTGGCAGTGTAATTATTGGGAGTTCTGTAGCTCCACATGATCTATCTTGTTCATAGCATTCGCTTTTCAGTGTAATGATATAAATAGTTACATGAAAGAGATTGAGTATATCTGAACCTGATAATGCTATATAATCTCTTCTGTGAAGATCTAAGTATCACTATCAAGACAGAGAACAAATGCTAGAGTTGCAGTGTGACCTAGGATCTTTTATTGCATTTTGCAAGGGAAAGGATGGTGGAGTGTCTTTATAAATATTAAGGAAGTGACACAATGAAAATTCCTTTATAGCACAATGAAAGCAGATGTAAAGTCTGCTCCCTAGCATTGAATAAGATCAGCTCATCACCACCACAGAAAGAGACTAAAACAGTACAAAGCCTTTGAGAATTCTTCCAGCGTTTCCTGATGTTTAATGTATTTTTCTAACAACATAGATGAGAATAAAAAGAAAATACACACAAAATCAGAATGGTCTGAGTTGGAAGGGACCTTAAAGACCATCTAGTTCCAACCCTCATGCCATAGAAAGGGACACTTTTCTTTAGACCAGGTTGCTCAGAACCCCATCCAACTGGTCTTGAACATCTCCAGGTATGGAGCAACCACAACTTCTCTGGGCAACCTGTTCTTGTGCCTCACAGTAAAGAATTTCATCCTAATATCTAATCTAATCCTGTGCTCTGTTGGTTTTAAGCCATTACCCCTTGTCCTAACACAATACATCCTTGAATATTCTTGATTGGTAGTTGAAAAGGTATTGAAAGCAATGTAGTTTAAACATTTCCTCATGTTCACCTATAATGCCCTTTCAGTTGCACAAATTGCTTGAGTGAATGTCTAGTTTTATTGTGCCTTTATATATGGATATCTAAATCTGACATATAGATAAATAATTGACTGAAAGCAGTTCTTACAGTCCTGTGAAGCTTCTTAGATTTACAATTAGATTTTATAATTGAATTTCCTCAAGTATTATAAGTTATCAACTACCTCTTTACTCAATTCCACTGTCTGCTTAAATCAAAGCTAACAAATATCCTTAGTACTATGAAAACTACAATTTCAGTCAATTATTTTCACAGCTTTCTGTATGCAAGAATGCTTTTTAAAATTGGTATAAAAGGAGTGTTTTATAAAACAGCAACTACGCTAATTAAGATTAACTCTAATTTCAAATGAAAGATTTAAGCATTTTTCATTGTTCATAATAATGTAGAATCTTGCAGAGTCAAGGCACTAAGAGTATTCTTGAAATATTATGACATCTAATTCTTTTTTAGATGCTGGCCTTGATGGGTTTGAACTGAAAGGCACATAGGCTCTACTTCCAATACTTTCAAATTTAAAAACCAGGACAGTATTTCTATCCAGCCATGATGCAAAAGATAGATTGGTGTCCACCTGTTCAAATGACTGACATGGTAGACTTCAGCCCAAGGCAAATATACTGGGATCACTGATACTATTACTAAATAGCAAACAGTTTTAAACCACAACAGGTGTTAATTCCTAGACTCAATGACTAAAAACATTACATTCAGGAAGATCTCTTAGAGAATGAATGTCTCTGGTAACAGGCTACATTAATATGTAATCTAAATCCTGTGAGGAGGATCGTGTAATCAGTTTATTCTGCAGCCTCCTGAAGAACCTCACAACAAATCAAGAAGCTGCATTTCCTCCTCAGCCCTCCTTTAAAGTTCTCCTACATTTGAAGGAATTCACTGTGCATACCCTAGTTTCACACAGTAAGACAGACCAAGGCTGCCTAAGTGGCCAATAATAAATAGCAAACATGTTGATGTGTTCCATCAGTTTAGGTAAGCACCCAACTGATGTAAATCTGTGTGGTTTTATTATGTCTCTCTTTCAGCCTGGACTAGAAACGAATGTAGAGTAGGCATTGCACTGGGTGTGCAAAAGCTGCCAGAAGAGCCCACAGAGCATTCCTGCTCTCAAAATAGCTCAGTGGATAACAGAGACAGCTCCAGATAATTCCAGATCTGGAATTAAGTGTACTGACTGTCTTACCAATAGAGCAAAGACAAAACTAATTTGGTTGTGGACTTGTGTTACACTCAAGTGCCACATTCCACAGTTTATTAATTTACACAACAATACTAACTCATATTGGCTTGCATGATTTTATAGAGGGACAAAATTTGACCACCTCTTCCTATTATTCCATTTACCTGCTTTTTGCAATGTTTCTCATATGAGTAGACTTCTGGTACACATTTGGTAGTCCAAACAATACAGAAATTGCAGTACAGTACAGTATTTCCATCTTTTTCAGAGACTTTTCAAGTTAATAAATAGTCTCTATCCATTTATTAATACAATAAAAACAGTCTCTGCTATAAGAAAACTGGACTATTGAAATATAGTTTACAGGTGTAAAGTTGAGGGGATTTTGTCCTTAACATATAATTTGTTGTGCAATCTATCTGTCTTTAAGTGTTTACAGAACCTTAATCTTTTTGACTTCCTTTTTGTTCAGTTTGGTGCCAAAAAGAACATAAAAGATTCCATATGAGATTACACAGCTAAAACCAAAAGGAAAATATTAGGAACAAATATAATATTTTGAGGTTTCTTAGTTTGTTTTACTTTTAATACTGAGCAGACTGTTTACACAAATCATTTTGCTGTGAAAGTAACGCATAATGAGTTAAATGTGTGCAACGTCACCATCAATCACATTCATTTGTGTTTGACCAACCAAACATTTATTGCACATTAAATCACTTTCTAATCACGTTATGAAGAAGGCGGAACAAACACACATTTCAAGCTTTCATTAAAAAATACAGAAGTTTCAGTACATTTTCCTGGCAATCTCCTGACTTGTGGGAGACTCCACTAATAGTATTTGCTCAAGGAATTTATGAAGGCCTGACAATATTTTCAATGTTCTTAATGAAAAGAGGTGAAAGTTCTTTTTAGGGAATGGGAATATTTCTCTTCAATATAGTCCTCTTTAGCAATTCTAATCAATGTAGCTGCTCTGCTACAATACACTTCTGATTCACAGCCACCACTCAGTAAGGTTTCTTTTTCAAGTTTTCAGAGTGAGACAGACATGAAAAAGAACATCCTTTCAGCTAAATAAACAAACTTTTTGTAATCACCAATAAGGTTGGAGTCTCATAAATACGTCTCAGTTCTTATACATTATTTGGCTTCAGATTTTAAATTAGTCAGATATCTTTGGAAGTGATGATGTGCATTTTACATGCCTAGAAAATTCATTCTTGGTTTTGTGGCAGACATATTTTTAACCAGTTCTAACAGAGTATTGCCATCTCAGTGCACTATCTTATGGCATTTTTTTTCTCCTAGTGCCATCTGAAGATGACATTTGCAGTCACACAAGTTAAGGTATGTCTTGCACACTGCTCTGTTTATAACTGTATATAATCACAGACACAAGAGCAAAACTGACATTGATAGCTTCCTCCGAATCTAATTCATTGCTATTTTTATGCTTATCCTGTGTATATAGAAATATAATCTGAGTAGTGCATTGCAAACCTGAGCCTACATCTTAAAACTGTTCATCAGTGAGATAGTCTAATCTACTACTGTACTGGAATTATTATAAGAATATGTTATAAAATAAGAAAACATTGGATTTAAGGTGGATAAAATAATGGCAGAAGGGGTTAGATATATTTTCTGGAAACATGCTAGCTTTACATTTCCAGTTTTTGACTTGTTTAAATGTTTTAGCTGCGAATCCAGGCCATAAATGTGTGTGTCTATAGTACAGTTCCCCCATAGTCCAGTTTATCACTTTGTGAATCTCTCATTTTCTCACTGCAAATTTAAAATCACTATTAAAATAACTTGAATTAAGACTGAGGAGAAGCAAATACATGAATGATGTTGTGGGAAGTTCAGGCTTTGGTTCTAACACATTTTCTTTATTTACTCACAGTCAGAGGTTCTCTAGCCACTTGATGTAAAAGACCAAAACAACCAGTCCCTTTTTCTGGGCACTTTGTTGCTATATCGGACTTCCATAAATCATATTTTTGCTTTAGCAGCAGTGACTTTTCTCATACAAACATGTGGTTTGTCCAAAATCAAGCAAAATGACCAAACACCAGAAAATATCTCCCTAGTAATGGATGCTGCTATGGAAAATCATTTAAAGGTCAGATGCTTGCTGAATAAAAATAAAAACATACCTTGACAGAATCTGGTTCATTGCCTAATTTGCAGGAGAAAACTTTTGTATGGGAATTGTGTGCTGTTTTTTTCAGTCTTACAAAATCTGTTAATATCTTCCTATCTGCTTCACATTTGAGTCATGTTCTCTACTCAACTCTCTGACAACCTGAATTGCAGACTAATACATTCTAATGAGACAAGACATTACCTTTATGAATGACCTCATAGAGAAGAGGTTGGCTAACATTGTTGAAAGGCCTGGTGCCAGGCAGCTCTGGGCTATGAAACCCAGCTTGAGCTCAGCAAGACAGATTGCATCATCCCCTTCTTTCCAGTTCCAACTTGGGATATTTAGCAGATGGGCCTGGAAAACAAATAAACAAACAAAATATCCCCCAGGTGAGTAACCAAAAATACTTCCTGAAATATAGTATGGTATTGAAGAAAATAGCAGTGAATGATTTTCTCTGTTAATGGCTTAATGTTTTCTGAGTAGGTAGAAGAAGTTCAAGTACTTCAGAGCTTAATTCTGTGTTAAGAAGTGTTCCGCTCTTACTTATTACAGACAAAATCTTAAATTTCTCAAGACATGTGCTGGCTTTGACACTCTGTCAGGCTCATCCTCACACCTGAACAAAGAGAATATTGTAAAGTTTTCCTTCCCTTCCGTATATTCCTTTCACAGCACTTTAAGCTACAGTCTGACTGATATGGAACATATATAGTATACAGGAAGCTAATACAACTTAGATTAGAACTCATGTGAAGCTGCAACCTTTATTGGACATTGTCATTTAAAAAGGCATAGAACATCTTCTGTCTTTTCTATTTAATTTCTTCCACCCTGAAGGATAGCACTTGACAGTGAAAATCCGAATTTTTTTCTAAGACTGATTCTTATAAGGAGAAAAAAAATAGATGATCAAGACACACATTGACACTGGTCAGTTATATAGGTATAAATATTGTTCAGTTATTGGCATAACTCTATTGGATTTTCCCTTACATATACCTTTGACAGTTGTATAGACATAAGGAAACACAGAGGCCTACATCCTTGTTTCCCTTCCTAAGTTAATACCACAGCTCAGCACTTTGATAAAAGCTATTCTTGAAGACACATTCACTGGAATAACAAATGAAAACTGCATTATTTAAAAGATCTCTCCCTCTGAACCTGTTTAAAGCAGAGAAACACCTTGTTTTTATTCTATAAAAAGACAGGCTTCTTCCATGACATACAGGAAGAGGACACAGCAAGCAACAGTAATTGCTCTTGGTATAGCTAAAGGTTACAGGTGCAAGGAGCTGTTAGCAAACTTCCTTACTACGAGATTTATTGTGTATTTCTTTGAATGAAGATCTACCCAGTCAACCTGCTTCTCAAACAGTGGGCAGTGGTTGATGCTTTCAGAAATAATAAAAGAAGCAGGTCACATATGAGTAGTCTGTTCTATCATATACTCTTCCTAACCCTGATAATCAGCACTTTATGGACTTCCTCATCTCAGGATTGAATAAACTGACTTCACTGTGTTTAAAGTCCACAAATCTGCATCAAAAAATTTTCCAAATTATTTTCCAAAGTGAATTTATAATTTTGAACTCCACAGTATTTATAGCAGCAAATTCCACAACTCAGCTATGTTTTATATGAATGTATATTATAGTAATGCATATGAATGGAATACTATTATTTATTTTGTGCCTGCTGTTGGGCAATTTCAGGTCTACATTGTCATGCCATTATCAAAAAATCATAATAATCTCCCACAAAACAATAATCACTACTTGGATTTTTGTTTTGTTTTGTTTGGGGTTTTTTAAATTATGAACAAAGAACCAACTTGAGATTAATTGCCTAGAGGCCACCAATCCATCCTGGGTAATTCTAGCATAATAAACTATGCAATACTTATAGAAGTTAGGCAGTTAAAAGCTAATCTAGAATCAATAGCAACTATGGACACTGTAGCTTTGAGAATTAGATCCTAGGCAACTAATAAATGTCAGGATTTTGATAAAGTCCCCTGCATATATAAATAAAACTGAATTGCTTTGCAACTAGATTACATGACAAGGCTTATGAGGACGTTTTACTTTGGAAAGAAAAAGGCTTACTACTAGTGGAACTAGTTATGTAGGAGTGAATGCAATGTAGCAAAAAACCGAAGAGAAACATTGTTGGTCATCATGTTACCTTATTGTGATACTGCAACATCTGAGTGATAATTCTTATCTTCGGATGATAATTCTTTATTGAAATTACTCTAAAAAGAAAAGGAAAAACTAATAAAGTACCTTTTAACTGATAGGATATTTAGATAATGCATCCAAATAACTCCACTGTGTTGCAAGTCCACAATTAAAATTGTACCCTCATATCCATCTGGCTGTAAAGCATATCGATTGAAGTCAGAACTATGCAATATATACACCTAGTCAAATTGAGATAATAACTAGTGGCTAATAATAGAGAAAAACAAACATCAGGAAATATTCAGTTGTATATTTTCTCTTAGGAAGTTTGCAGAAAAAGAGACTTGTTTTAGCAAATCTGTTCAGATACTCCATTTATTCTCCTAGAAAAATAATACACTTGGAACTATTATGTCATCTTCAGTGATTATCCTTCATGTCTTTGTATCAACATAATTGATCAAGTTTTCCAATGATAAATGTCTGAAAAAATCCCTTTCTTCCTTCCCCATCACATATTATTTATTTATACCTGCTCGACATTCATCATATTGAAGTACCTCAAATAATGATTTTACACACTCAAATTCATCTTAATTTTTATGGACTACTCCAAAGCTTAATATCAAAATTGATATCTGAACACTGAATTTATAAAATATGGGGCTACTTTCATAATCTGCAGCTTCTCTACATTCTTAATTACTTCATGAGTGTAAGATATACTCAACTGTGTATAGATTTTAAGTGGATGGAAAAAAATTGCTTGAGAAATGTTTGGATTGATAATGCACTACAAAAAAGCATTGAACAAAATTAAAGAGATGAACAGGCCAAAAAAATCAGTTTTGTATTTACAAACTAAAGGTAGAGAAAGAAGATAAAACAATTTAAAAAAAAAAATTACTTATTATGGCACCATCAGTCTCATAAGACTGAATGCCATAAGTGTTTACATCGGTGTTTTGTAGAAAGTATCTTGAAAACTGCTAGTCTGGCTTGTGCTTTGAAGCATATCAAAGCTAGAATGGGAAACATAAAAAAATTGCATTACTTTAACAAGTCTTTCTTCTAATTTTCCCTTTCTCACTGAGTTGTTTAATTAAACATTCAATTTTTTGAATTAAATTGTGAGAAAACACCAGAGAATTCCACTTCCAAATTACACTTTCGCATTTGATTACATTAAATGTATTAAATCTTTTAAGAATTCACTAATCTCCAACTGGAATATTTTAATGTATTTATGCAATCAATGTCAAAAAGTTTCTTGCATTGCAACCCACACCAAGCTTGTAAAATGAAATTAGGCATATTTAAGCCCTGCATCTTCCTCAGACAGCCACATCTCTTGCACGCAGTGAAAGTTTTCCAGAGGAGCAATTTTATAACTCATTTTTTATTTCTGCCCTTCCTTGCACAGCATGCAAACGTCTGACAAGCCAAACAAATTTGTTCATAACACTGGCCAATCCAATCATAGAGAACTTCTAACGAATCAATCTCATTAAAACAAGAGCAGGATGAACAAAACATAAAACATGGAATGGCATGGGTTTGTTGTAACTCTACTGATTTGCCACCTACTGACTGACTGTTTCATCTCCTTCCTTCAGAGACTTCAAGGAGGAAAGCAGGAGGAGATTAGTGGTCCCTATTGTGGTAAATGGCTTGTCAATCAAAAAAAGTAATGATTGGTCTTCAGCGTAAAAAAAGCAAGATGGAGATAGGAGACCACTCTACTGTATACTTTGCTATCCCCCGAGCAGCACATTGCTTGTAGGAGCAGATATACCAGGGGGAAACAAGGTGTGAAGTGATGAAGTGTTCTTCTGTCCCATCATTAATAGCAGCCCATGTAGTACATGAACTCTCATAACATATTGTTGCAACAACATAACTGCATTCCCCTTCCTCTCTCCATTCAGCTATGAATACTCAACCTAGCTCCTGCAAAATTACTAAGAGTACCAAAGCTTGTGCTCCAAGCGTCTCTTCTGAGACACAATAAAGCAGCCAAATCAAACAGTTTAGGTAGGAATTGAGGATATTCTCACCTCTGAACTTTTGTGACACTTTCAAGTTGTCAAAAAAAAAAAAATCCTACAGTGTTCTTTAAGTGCAACGGATCAGAAAATTATCTAATCTGAGTTAAGAACCAAAAAGCTATTAAAAACTCCAGAGTTTACCTCATAATATTGGAGGCATCTTCAGCATCTGGGTCAGCGCAGTATTTATTGGCAAGGATTAGGCACGCATCTGCTGACTCTATCTGAGACACCAAAGAAAAAGAAAAGATGTATAGCAACGTCTCTTTCCAGCTCTTCTTTCATCATAAAGTATCAGGGAATCCAGCACTACCATTGTGAGTGTGAGTGTCAGTTCTTAATACTGCTAATCAAAAATGTTACTAGGCTAATGTGAGTTAATGTGAGTCATTATAACTGCTCTCATACACACACAGCAGTTCCTTGAAACTTGATTATGATGATCAGAGCAGGTTAGTAGTTCAATTGTCGACTCTTACTTTGTATCAGCTGAGCCATGAAGGTGTTAACATTAATCTTTTGTGACCAGATATTGGAATTTAGATCTCTCAATCCATACAAAGTTCCTGTTACATCAGGACAGCGCTCCCACAAGTCCTGCAGCTTTCTTTGGGAATTTAAGTACCTCCTATTATAGACAGGAAGAGGAGGCTGAACTGATGATTTAGAATCTGAGTACCAGATTTAGAAAGTAAGAGGAAGACAACTGATCTGTTCACAGGATCTCTAGATTCAGAAAAGCCTTAGCTTTACAGAACTCAAATCATATGAAAAAAGTATTTTTCAGTGTGTATAACCAACTATCAACACAATTAAGGGGGGAATACAGAACACAAAATACAAACACACAATTTTATGGTCATAATTAGAACATGTTCTGATGAACTGAAATTGTGTGCATTGGGCTACAAAAGGTTAAGCAATTTCTGCAGCCAAAATCGACAAAAGATGTGATTAGAACCCCAGAAAGGATTAACAACACTGTGCTAAAATATTCTTGGCTTAAGTAGCCAGTTTACATTCTGGTGGGGTTAAAAAAAAAAGAAACAAAAAAGTTACTAATGTATCTGAGAACTTGGTTTTTCCTTAAAATTTTTTAATCTTCATGCTTTGCTTTAAGAGTACAAAAAAAATTACCATTTAGAATTCTAGAAAATAAAACTATCTAATTTTAGCTTAATTATAAAAAAATCTTAAAATGTATTTTTCTTTCAGCATTCCAGACAATATAAAAAGGTTCAGGAGGTGAAAAATGAGTATTTTAAGCCGCTACTGTAAGACAATGTTCTGCTATATCAAACATTAATGTAAAATAGACTCTTGAAACCTCAATGAAACATTCATAAAGAGTTTAATGGAATGGCAGACAATGTGTCTTAAGTCATTGTTACTGTAGTTTTGAAAATCTAAAGATATAGCAGAAAAAAGGTTTACAAGGACAGACATTATAATTTATTAGTCAAGCTAACAGAGATGGAAAACCAATCTTTTGGGGTTACATGAAGAAGGGCTTTACTGTTTTTTTTCCAAATAATGCAATGAGTACTTTAAAAAAGTCAATTAGCAGGAGAACAGAACAACAGAGCTGTTACCTTCACTCTCGCCAGGTCATGGGGATTAAGGACTGAACCCTGATAAAATTCCACCTGAGTGAAGTGTCGTTTAAAAAGAGCTTCCAGCTCAAGGTTAGGGGAGATACTGCATTGGGAAGAGGAAGAAAACACAAGCGAAAATGAGAAATCAGCTTCCATAACTGTCCCATTTCCTTCATTTACAAACCCACCCATTTATTACTTCTGTTAATGCTTTTTCTGTGATGTGGCAACAGTGTGCAATACTTAAAAGATAAACACTATATTGCTTTCACTTTCTTATTTCTGTCCCCAATGCTTCTGGCTCACTTCATTGTGCTACTATCCACGTTCATCCTTTGGCAGTTTCTCACAAATATGAATGCAGAAGTATGGGTGCAAACATTTGAAAACATCCTCTCACAGCTTTCTGCCTGGAATTTATCTAGTAACACAATCATCCTCTCCATGTCCCCACCATTCTCAAAATGGCAGACTGCATGAATAAAAGAGCTCAATGCAAAAATCACTAAAAACCAGAAAAAGAAACCCCCTAGGAATCCTGTGGCTTGTGTGAGCTGCAAATAAAACAGACATAATGATGCTGTGACCTTCTGTCTCATTTCATTTTGCCAGAAATAAAAAAAAAAATTAAATGGATCACAGTCAATTACATAATGTGGCAACAACCTTGTAAATATCTGTTCTGATGCCACTCATTAAAACAGAAGGGATTTAATAGCTTCACAGTAAGTGCATGAGACCTTTGCCATGCCAAATGCTAAATTTAATAGGAAAACAAAACAGATACATGCAAGTATTTGTCAGTGAAGGTACAGAAGAAAGTAGGCACAAACAAGTAGCAAGGTGCTAAACTCCTTTCACGTGAATGTGCAGTTTCCCGATTCGATTCCTATCACCACGTACTTTCACTGTGGAAATCAAGACCTTCGATTTCCCCTCACAGTCACTTCTTGTTATTACAGAGAGAGGGGATGCAAATAAATGATGTAGTTACTTGAGGATATTATCTGTAGTTCAGTTTGAAAAGACTAGATGATAAAATTCTGCAAGTGCTGCTGACTCATGGTTTTCAGCTTCCATTCTTAAATCATCACATATGATTCCTTAACTTTTTAATCATTTTCTTTGACAAAAAGTGCCGAACGTGCTCTGAATGCAAAAATATTACTCGTTCAACACTTTTAAACAGATGCCATTCCAGAGCATAAAAGACCTTTTCATACTGTCTCCTATCACATGGCCTTTTCTAGCAACTTCTCCCCTAAGCATTCCCATTTGATATTGTATTACACATAATGTAGAGCCTGCAAGAAGCAACAACCACCTTCAGACACTTTTCCAAATTCCACATCAGAAAAAGGCAAGAGACTATGTGTATGTAGGTATGTATATATGGGTAAAAGAGCAGTATTGATTATCAGTGTGATAAGAATTTAATTTCTATCTATCTTCGACATATCTGTAATGTATCTCATTTATATTAAAATTAAATCCACACCTACATTTTTCTTTTTATAAATACTTTGCAATATGAAATAAACATTTTTCCTAGACAAATCCAAGGTGAAAATGTACTAACATAAGTTCATATGACATACAGTGTTTTTCTTTAGTTTTACTAATGTGAGGAATTTAGGTAGTTTCTTCATAAATATTTACCACTAAAAAGAATTCTCCCATATATTTATTAGCATTCCAATATTTTTTATTTCATAACTCCACTCCCACTTCAATGATGCATTTAGCTATCTACCTCACAGATGACACAAATGGGTCTGAAGTCTATCTGCTTGAAATATGTATACTTAGCAACGTGTTATCAAAAATGTAGAAAACAACTATTTTTCAAAACATATTGTAATAACAGTAATTGAAAACATTAATTTTATGGTTATTTGGAGCTTGAAAGTTTCTCTGTCTTTTCATAAGATCAGGCTTAATTTAAAGAGCTTTAGTAATTGATGATAAGACTAATCTTGAAAGATTACTCACTTATGCAGAAAGACGATTTCTACGTTGACATCATCCCTATCCTTGTGCAGGAAGTCCTTCAGGAAGTTGGACACGCTTTCAAGTGTTATGTGACCACAGACAACTATGTGCCTGTTACAGAAAAATCAGAGTTAATCTTGCAAAGAAGGTAATACAAGCAAGCAAGAAAGCAGAAACGGAAAAGATCCTTCTTGACGTTTCTCTAGATTGTATTCCATGAAGTCAGAGAAGGAAAATATCACTTCCAAAAGGTATTTTGCAATTGCAAATATATATACACTCTCACCTGCAAAGCCATTTGGACATGTTGTATTACACATTTAACAATAAGTGGTATCAGTCATATATAAGTCTATACACCATGTTAACCAGTCCTTCTCAAAGGCATATTTCTTTATTTTACACATCTCTCTCCACATTTTTACCTCTAATGAGATTTATTGGTCAATTTTTTGGTTTATGACAGCAAATCTCGATATTTTTCTACAGTTGAAGCAGATATTTATGCCAATGAAGGCAGTGCAAAGATTGTCAATTATAGGTCATAAGCAGTAAAAAAGAAATATTTTTCCTACCATAACTCCTAGAAAGAAAATACTTTACAATAAGAAGTCATTACTTATTTCACCATTGCAACAGATTGCTTAGAAAATCAAAGTTTGCATAGATTGTGATGTCACAAAGGTTTCTACTGCTCCACATTTTCATTACTAGATGTAGCTGACCATGGAAGATGGAAGCACAACATATACCTACATACACATTCTTGAATTCTACATCTTAAATTCTGAAAGGCTGAAGGAAAGGCCTAGGAAATTGCACTCTTTCTGACTTAAGGGATCTTTGCTCCCTTATTATTGTAAAAACAAAGTCTAAAAATTTATGATTAGAATATCCCAAAATGTCTCACAATTTCCTTCATGGAAAAAACAAAATCCAGCTTCTGTTACTGTCATGGCTTCAAGACAGATAGTGATTTTTGTTAAGCCTATTGCTAATACTTCTAATAACCACATTGCTCACAGAAGTCAGGAAGAGGGAAAAGGTGTCATAGATACCATTTTTGAAGAAACAGAAAATCACCTTCATTACTGTCATATAGTCTATGCACAAACACACAATTCTGCACTTGTTTGGCACTTGAACTACTAACTGTGAAGCAAAGTAATTCCAAAGATAAGAAGTAGACCACCCAAGTCTCAGCTACTTCATAATTCTTCTGTGGAAAACTCAGTAACATAGAAACCTCATTGTCGGGAAACAACAAATAATATGTAGCAGCAATGATTACCTATGCAATGGACTATAACAGGAGTCTTTCCTTGCTTCATAATTTGATCCTTGATGAAATGTGTGTGAAAAGTACACCAAACTCATTGGAAAAGGGATAACTATGCAGAACAAATCAATAGTAATAATATGCACCATGCAGTGAAAACTATCGCTGTCAGGTACTGTCACTTTTGCAGTGTCTCTGACAGTGACTAGAAAAGCAAAACACAATAAACTGTTATACCAGTCCAGCAGACCTTGTGATATTGTTTACTATCATCACTTTTCTGGCATAGCACAGTGTTAAATATTTATATAGAAACGTGACAACATTCCTTTTGAATGAGCTCTTAATGACAGCACCAGGACTCAAATGCAATTTTAGAAATAGCAATAGTCTAAAACTTCAGTGGTTTCATTCTATTTAATAGGTAAGAAATCAATGTCTATAGGAGACTATGAATGTTTATTTTTAAACTAGATAATAGTGTCTGCTTTGCTTTTTTTTTTTTAACAGAAGTTTTAGGTGCAGTAAGTGCACAAAGCACAAAGTCCTTGGACTGCAAACACTTAAAAACACAAAAAACCCTGAGTTAAAGCCTTCCTGTTTTATGAGGTGGTAAACACAGTATAAGAAAACAAGATGTAAAATATAATCAGGTCATCCTTTCTTCTTGGTGCAAGAGGTTTCTTCTGGGAGCTTTGCAAATTGGCAGTTTCCAGTAGGCTCTGCACTGCCTCTATTAGCCCTACCAGAAGCACTCTTTCTCTGTTTCCCTAATGGTCAGTCGCCTGAATTGCCAGAGATGGGCATTCATGTGTGTTATTGCACTAAGGGTATAAGTAGTCTATCAATGTAAATGGAAAACCTCAGGAAACTTCAGATTCTGACAAAATGTTTAAAACCTTAGTAGTTTACTAGATCTAAATTCTGAACAGACTTTTTTTGACAAACTACATTACAGTAACCTACTGGGAAGCTCTTGCTGTCTAGTGGTACTCAACACTTTTTTGCAAGTGTAAACCCATCTAGCACCAAAAACCTCAATGGCCCAGGAAAATCATAAATAGCAGCTAAAAATATATTAATTTGTATTCCTTATACTGTCTGTACACATTTTCCAAGATGACAGATTTTTAACTATAGGTAGTTTTCTTCAGATATTTCCAGCTATTACTAATTAAGAAACTGAACTTTCCATTTGCATAGTTGAAGCATTGTTTTTGGTAGCAGAAATAATTTCCCATGGTAGGGAACTCCTTTGTACAGATCCTGTGTTGTTGGCTTTAGCAGAATCTCTTCCTGAGTGCTCTTCTGATACACTGCATTCCTGTGCAGAAAATTTATCTCCTTCTTGGCTGATTTCACTTAATATTCATTCTTTTCTGTCATTGATTAGAATCCACACTTTTAAAGTATGGCTACAGAAGAAATCATCATAGTATCAAAAGACTACAAGATAATTCACATTATAAAATAACTCCAGAGGTTATTTACTACAAAAAACTCCTGCTAAAAGCAGATGCAATTGGTACAATCCTGTTCTGACTCTCACTGAGTAGGGATTCAGAGCAATCTGCTACAGTGAAAATAAAACATTTGCCTGCCAAAAAGTCTTGCATTTGGACATCAAGGCTAATTCCTTTTGAAGTGTTGGAAGGCATCTGCACTATGGTTTCATTTTTTACTCTGATTTAGAACTGGGCATGATCTATTCTTCTCTTCTTTGCTGTTCCTATAATGTGCAGGGCAGTGTTCTGAACAGTGACTGCAACTAAACTTCCTGGCCTTCAAACAGTATTTTCTGACTAGATATTTGCATTAATTTTTGGTTTAAAACCCCCACCAATAAAACCTTTCTTTAACATAAATTATATTTTTTGCTCAGAAGTAGACAATATTGAAAACAGATTTCCTACTTGCCCACAGAGAGTTTTTAGGTACATTATTTAAGAAAACTTGGAGAGCTTATATTGTTCCAATCTGTCCTGTATATGATTTAAAGATTTATAACTTCCTCTGTGTGTTTCAATAACCATTCCCTTCCCTTTTTTTTACCACCCATTTTTTTCCATGCACTGAGACTTTAAGAAAAGTCAACATACTGCATAACTTTTTCATTGTGAAAAAGTTAGTTAGTAGAAAAACACTGTATGAAAAATATTGTGTCAAACGAAATGTCTAACATCTGCATTAAGCTTTTTCTTTTTAAAAGGCTCAAAAGTAACACTTTATTGTGCTTTCAATTTTTTTTTATTCTTTAAAAAAACAAAATTTAGACTTTTCCTTACCATACTGAAAATATGGTTTAGGAATTTAGACATTTTTATTACTGATATGTATTTAGGAGGACTAAGGTAATAGTTGTCATTGGTATCATGTATTAGAGGTGAAAATGGTTTAATATACCACTGGGAGTCCATATTACCAGACTGTGATGCTGCAATAGAAATCTTTTACAAAGAATCAAAAGCTTATCAGGAATAATATTCTATCAGCAAAAATGGACTAATCCAGTCTCTCCCATATATATTTATCATCCTCAAAATTAATTTGAGAAATATGAAGAAATATGAAAATATTTTGAATACAAAAAATTAACACAGTTGTACACAATTTTGTACACAGTTGTACACAACTGTGATTCTAAACAGCTGAAATTCCCTACAGTACCTAATTTTTTTCCTACTCAAGTACTGACATAATGATACGTTTGCTAAAAATACTCTAGCTTCTTATAAAGCAAACAAAAAATGGTGATATAGGATCCTAAGCTACCACAGATACAAACTATTTTAGTAAGAAAAAAATGAAATAAGCAAAAGTTAAAACATCTAGATTTCTGACATGAGATAATTGAGAGCATACACTTAATCCATGTAAATAGCACTGTAAATGAAAACAGATCCACTGTGAATGGGATTCTTTACAAATGATCTTTGTATGCTTCTTCCTTCAGAGGATACAATACAAAAGGCAAATCTTTTGCCTGTTTATTTTGAAAGAAATTATATCCATTTTATTGGAACAAGTATAAAGAACTTGAAAAAATTCACTCCAACTACTCTGTCACAATAAATCAAGTATAATAAATACAAAATTCTGTTCAGTTGAATACTTGGTGTTCACTTGTCAAGTAACTAGAAGAAGTGTGGTGCATCTAGATGTCTCTCTAAAATTATATTTATATCAAATACATATGTTCAGATGTCTTCCTGGTCTTTCTGCTTAGCATTCTGGTTGTTCCTTCATCTATTGACCATCTAAATTCTTTGCGTACATAGCAGTAGCAGACTGCTGTGGCTGAAGTAAACAGGTTCTTGTAAAGTCTAACAGGCTTTGCTCAAAAAAGGATGGATCTCAGTCTCATCTTCTTATTAAAAAAAAATAAAATTAATAAATGTTAACAGAGACTGGTTGTTTATCTATTAGTGGTATGCATTCTTAAACATAAGAGTTTACAATGTTTCCAGCCACTGGTGTTTTTCCTGGTTTACCTAACATTACTCAAGATTCTGTTAATTCAGCTCAAAACTTTATGCATGTGCTATGTGTCTTTCTCTTATTTCAATATAAACTCCTCTCTCAGATTAATACTGTTAGAGTAATAAGTGCTGTGTGGTCACAGTTTGAAGTTTTTCTCTTTTTTTCATAGAAGACTTGAACCCAAGGATGATGATCCTCTAAGGATCAATTATTTAGCCAATGTGTATAGTTAGCCAGAATAATATGTTATAAAATTATAACCTTTAAAAAAACTTGCCTATGTATTGCATATATAAAAAAAGCAAAGGCTGAGAACTGCTCATTTAAAATGGACACTTTTGGACTAGAAAAA